CGCCAATTCTGAAAGGCTATCCACTTCGTGGTTTTTCTCTACCTTCCACCAAGGCTGTTGCTAGCTAGTGGGGAGTTCATCCCATGGATCTTAACAGTGTTATGTTAAATATATTCTGGAACAAAGGATAGCAGCTATTGCTTAGAGCAACTCTAGCAGATGTTGAATATTTCCGTCCCGCAAAACCAGTTTGCGGCTCTTCCTAGAACGGATTTGCGGTATCACGAGACTTCAGACAGAATTGATGCCGCAAACCTGTACTGCAAATTTTTGCGGTACGGGTTTACGGCATATGTTCCGCCTGGTCCCGCATATCGCAAATCTGTTTTAGTTAGATAGGCAAAATCATGCTTTTGAACAATACTATAATTTAAATAAAACAGCAATATAAATCAAACTTATTAATGCTTTAAGATCATGCAATACAATAATCCTCTTAATTGCAACTTATGTTTAAATCTAAATAATTAAAAAAATAACAACATGGTTTGGAATTAAAAGAATTGTTGAAATCACACATGAATACAAGTAAGATCAAATAAATAAAATGGAAGCGACATAAACCTGGCAGGAACAAGGTTCCCATTCCCTAAAGCGATTTTTTTTAGAAAATTCCCTAAACCGATATAAACCCTTTGTAGCAAAATGGGCTGGCCCATGTTGCGCCGGCATTTTGCTGCAATGAGCGGCAAATAGGGAATCGCCTGCCTGACTGAGGAGGGCTGGATCACGAACTCCCTCGGAACGTCAGGGCCCAAATCGATCCCTCAAGCCAGTCCCACATCTCCTCCCCCGCGCCACCGCCGCCGACCGCCGTCCGCCGTCGCCGTGCGCCGGGTGCCCAAGATGGACGGGGAGGAGGAGAACCCGGGGCCCTTCCGCCGCACGAGCTCGCGAACGCGGCGGATGGCCTCGCGCATGGCCTCCGCCCTCTCCAGCTCCGACAACCGCGCGCAGGTAACAATTCCTACCTCCTTGGATTCCACTTCCACCCGTGGAACCTCCATATCAGCAAGCGGTGCTCATTCATTTCTCTACTGAATTCGGCTTCGCCTTACCACCGAGGGGAAGCTCGCTGCTTCTGATCAATGTGGTGGTTTCGACTTCAAACGGCTTCAACCCTAGGAGAAGCCTTAAAGAAAACAATCTTTGTTGATTCGCCTATTTCTTGTTTCTTGGGCGTTCTGTCGTTGACTTAAGATCACTCGTTCCTGCAAATTACTGTGCGTCTTGTCAGTTTAGCTGCTCTTATGTCAGTTTCACTAAATTATGTGTCTTCATATCTGTAATGCCATGTAGGCTGCTTTGGCTCGTCTTGATGCGCTTGAGAGTGATAATGCTGGGGTTGAGGTGGTGGATCTCAATGATGATGAGTATGGATCTACGGATGAGGAGGACCATGGTCCGTTCCTTTCTTTATTATTTTCAGGGGAATTATTCTCTTGTGTGGTTTTCTGAAGTTTCAAGGAAGTTGCAATGCAGTGTGTACATAAACAAACTTTGCAATCTACTCCTAGTAAATAGCAAAATGGCTTTGTGCCTGCGCCTCAGGTATTGGTATTGCTTCTAGTATCAGAGATAACACATTCACGTACACAAATTTTACAGAAGAGGAAACACATTCTGTTTCTGTTTCTCGCAAAGAAAATGATTAACTAGATCATTAAATCCATCTTTGTAACAACATTCCTATTTATTTATTTATTTATTGAAGTCGTGTGCCTCTAATGCATTTGATATGAACAAGAACCTAAGTTATGCATGGGGATTGAATTATTGACCCCTGTCATGCCATGTTAGATTGCCTCACTATTGAAGATCATGGTTTGAATGTAAAGCATTACAATCACCATGCTGATTTAGCATTTCGGTGTAGAATTACTCCCTCCATTCTAAAATAATTGAAGTTCTAGGATTGAACTATTTTTTAAGTCTGGCCATGTCTATGACAAAAATTGCAAAGATCTACAATATCAAGTATATATAATATGAAAATTACTTCACAATGAATCTAATGAAGCAAATTTGGTACTCAAGATGTTGATATAGTTGTATATAGACTCTCCCAAACTTAATGGAGTTTGACTTAGGAAGTTAGGATAAACCTAGAACTTCATTTATTTTGAAACCGAGGGAGTATTATTAACACTGAGGGAGTATTTTTTAACATACTGAAAAGTTGTATATGCTGCTAGCTTTTGAGACAGTGCATGCGAAAAGATTTTTTTTCAAAACTATACGATGTAAGTGCTAATTTTATTTTGTTTCTTACTTGGCCTTGTGTAGTTTTGATGCAAAAGAAGCAATCAAAGAACATGAAACGCAAGACAAGGCAAGGAAAAGCTTTGGAGAAGAGGGCGGTAAGATCTTTCATGGATGTTTTACAAGAGGTGAGTAGAATAGAAGGGTTGGATGGGAACTAGGAAATTGTGATGCAAATTTCTTTCTTGACATATACACCCTCCGTCCAATAATATAAGAGCGTTTTTGACACTACACTAGTGTAAAAAACGCTCTTATATTATGGGACGGAGGGAGTATCTTTCTTGATGGTAACTAGGGTACTTAAAAGATTTTTACCCCTGGACTGTTACAGGCAAATCTGGAGGCCTTGCCACCTCATGTCCCAACATATCTGAGGGCTGCTGTGGGTCCACCGAGCACTTCATCCCGTCGCCATTACTGCTCTGTTTGTGGGAATTCTTCAAATTACACATGCCCCAGGTGTGGAACACGGTTCTGTTCTTGCCGCTGCCAAGTCATACACAATGACACTCGCTGCCTGAAATTTGTGGCTTGACCCATCTACAAGTCTGTGGAGCCTGGAGTTATGTTCAATGCAGTCGTGCCCTGTGGGCATGTGGCACCTAATGATCTGTTCTTTTATCAGAAAGAAATGCTTATTGTACAGCTAGCCAAGTAGTAGCCAGGTAGATCTTTTTGCAGACCGACACCATTTCTCCTTTAGAAATGTTGTGTGGCTGCTGGTTGTGTACTTCAATGCAGTGCAGTGGTAAATGATAGTTGTGTACTCCCTCCGTCCGGGTGTATAAGTCATTCGCGTAGTTCTAGGTCATCGATTTGAGGAATTAAATATGTGTTATATGTCATGAAAAGTATACCACTAGATTTCCACACGGATGTAGTTTGTAAATATATATTTTTTGTCACATATAATACATATTTAGATAGTTAAATTATCGACCTAGAACTACGCGAATGACTTATACACCGGGACGGAGGTAGTACTTTATTTGGCACTAAGATTGATTTCAGTGTACGACTGGGTCTCATGATGCAGGAAATTCTAGCTGCAAGTAAGAGGGTGTTTGTTTCCAGGGACTTATGGGTCTAGGGACTTAAATAAGTCCCAATAAGTCCCACCTAAACCAAACGGAAGGGACTTATGGGGACTTATTGTGGTGATTTGGGACTTATTGAAAAAGACTCTCCCAGAGGAGCTTATTGGGACTTATCGATCGCACCTGGGCCCCCCGCATCGCACCTGCCCCGCGTCGCACCTCCCCCCGCGCGTCGCTCTCCTCCCGCCTCGCATCGATCTCCTTCCCCCTGTCCCGCACCTTCTCCGCTCCTTCCCCTTCTGCGCCCGCAGCAAGATGCGCCGCCAGTAGCCAGCGCCGCCGCCGCCCGTAGCCAGCGCCGCCGCCGCCCGTAGCCAGCGCCGCCGCCGCCATGGCCGACGGTGAGGAGGACGGGAACCCTTTCTTGTCTCAGTTCCACGCGACTCATCAGGCATCGCAGGGCTCATCCGCCGGGGGAAATCTCGGGAGGGGAATGGGATTCTTGGATCTCAACCACAACGTCGACGAGTTCCCGGAGTTGGGCTCGTACCAGCAACTCCTCTTCAACCAGTCCGCCGGCCATGATCTTCCTCCTACTGGAGCTGGTCGTGGGAGGCCCGTGCCTCACGGCGGAGGAGGCCGAGCACGATCTCTCAACTTCGGAGGCCGAGCTGGCTCTCACCTGCGTCCGTTCGTCGCCCCGGCCGCATCTGCCGTTGAGGGAGGCGTGATAGGGTGTGGGAGGGCCATGGCGCAGGTCACTGGACGCGGTGTACGTGGAGCCCACGTGTCCTCATCGGCCGGCAGTAGAGGAAAAGCTGCGGGCAAGCAACGTGTGTCGTCAACTGCTGCATCTTCAGAAGATGTTAATGAGAATGAAGGCAAAATCATTGTGGCTTGCGTTGCACTGCACAATTTTATTAGACAAAGTCAACTGCCCGATATAGAATTCGACAAGTGTGATGAAGATGAAAATTATGTACCATTGTCTATGCCAACGACCACAACAAATGATTCAACAAATGAGACGGACAGTGCTGCTATGAATCAATTCAGAGCTTGGGTTGCTGATGGGTTGTGGTCCTTGAAACAACAATGATATGAACAAGTGTTATTCGCTTATGTAATTTCTTTTATCCCGGTTGTTATGTACTCTCTTATTTTGGTTCTTATCAACAAGTGTTAATCGTTTGTATGAACAAGTGTTATGAACAAGTGTTATTCGCTTATGTAATTTATTTTATCTCGGTTGTTATCTACACTTTCTTATTATGGTTCTTATCAACAAGTGTTAATCGTTTGTATGAACAAGTGTTATTTCGGTTGTCACTATTCTATAATTCGTTTGTATGAAAAATGGTTATGTGAACAAGTGTTTTATCAACTTATAAGTCCCTGTAAACAAACAGTCAGGGACTCGGGACTTATAAGTCGGTATAAACAAACAGGCAGAGACTTATGACTTATAAGTTGGGACTTAAAAAAGTCCTAGAACTTATGAAACAAACAGGCCCTAAGTGTTCCTCTAGTGTTCAACAGTATCTGAATAACATTTTTCTGACTGAAAAGTATCTGAATTACATTGAAGTATTTCTTAATGAATCGAATGTAAATAACTAATGCAGCAACAAATGTGAGAATGGTACATTGCCCCAAATAATGAGTAGAATTGAGCAAAAATAAAAAACTTTGATTTCTTCAGCAAATTGGCAGGTCTGGTGGGGGTGCCCCAAGGGACTGCAGCTCTCCTACCCCATCCTCGACCAGGAAGGCCATGGCGAGGCCCCAGGTGATGTGCACATCCAGATGGCAGTGCATCAGCCACACCCCGGGGTTATCGGCGACGAACCGGATGACAGCCCACCCATTCACCGGGACGCCCACCGTGTTCCTCATTGGCGGGTCGTCGAGGTTGAACTTTGCGGTGTCGGTAGCGGCATCGAAGTTCCCGAAGCCCTCAGCGAGGATGAAGAAGTCGTAGCCATGGGTGTGGATAGGGTGGTTCTCCCCGGCGAAGATGTTGGTGCCCTGGAGCACGATCTGCACCACGGAGCCGTACTTGAGCTTGTACACCTTGGTGCCTGGCACGGGCTGCCAGAGCGCGCGGCTCACATTCTGCGCCGTGTAGTCGAACTGCACCGGCGGGTTGGCGGGGAAGTCGGTGGTGAAGACGCCGGTGGCGGCGGCATCGCCCTGGTAGTGTGCCTGGAGGATGGAGACGGTGGAGGGGAGCACAAAGGAGGCGTTGTTGATGCTCGCAGCGAACCGCGTGTTGTTGGGGCCGCCGCAGTTCTGTCCGCTGGAGCAGTTGAAGAGGCCGACGCCGACGGTGAAGAAAAGGTCCTCGTCGACCGCCGAGGGGAGGCCCACCGAGTGGAGGTTGCGCAGGCTCGTCGTGAACGTGGTCACCGTGGCTGTGTCATTGTACGCCGGGAGGGTCGGCATCGCCGGGCTCGCCGTGCCACCGGCGCCGTAGTCAAAGATGGCGGTGGTGGTGGTGTTGTCGAAGGGCACGCCCTGCGCGCTGGCGTAGGCGCGAGCGGCGAGGTAGTACCGGCCCGGCGGCTGGTCGAAAGTGACGAGGACGTCCGTGGTCTGGCCAGGCCCGAGCACGATGACAGTGGCGTTGTACGGCTTGAGGTAGGAGGCGTCGGCGCCCACGACGGTCATGGTGTGGCCGGCGAGGGAGACGAAGAGCTCGGTGTTGAGCGCCGCGTTGATGAAGCGCAATAGGTTGGTCTCGCCGGACTTGACCGGGAACACGGCCGTGTCTTGGGAGGAGCAGTTGTAGAGGTCGCCGGGTTGGCCGTTGACGGTGATGGCGTCGGAGACGTTGGGAGCTGCACCGGTGCGCGTGGCGGTGCGGATGACGTCGATGGGGTTCATGTCCCACCACTCGCCTGTGCACATGCAACCAGATTATTAGTTACAGAAAATGGTACCGTACTACTCCCTCCGTTCCTAAATATTTGTCTTACATTTTAAATAACTACTACATACATACGGATACGGATGTATGTAGACATATTTTAGAATGTAAATTCACTCATTTTGTTCCGTATGTAGTCACTTGTTGAAATGCCTAGAAAGACAAGTATTTAGGAACGGAGGGAGTAGTATCTATCTAGCTCTTCTTTTTTTCCTCTTAAACAATAGTAGTGGGAAATAATAGAGAAAATATCTCTCTCATTCATATAGGAGGAAGGCGTACTACTCCACATAAAATGCTAAAAGGGAAAAGAAAAGTTAATTAGCTAGCATGCTGTACCACATGTTTTTTTTAGGCATGCTGTACTACATGTTAGGCCTATTGTTCCATGTCGGCCACACACGCAACAACCTAAATAAACAGCCAAACCATGAAATAAATGACAGCCATTTTGATTATTATCTATGCAATTAGAGACTCCGTTTATTGCGAATCTATGTAATTACGGACTCACGCTTTCAGGGAGCTCTTTTTGAATGCAATCACATGTTGGCTATTAAGTTGACTATAAATGACATGGCAACAAGATATTGAAAGTACTTCTCCAAAGATTTTCTTCTTCTTTGAAACCCGTTTGGAGAGAACATTAGAACATGTTGAAACTGGTCTTTATGCATGCTTTCTCTCTTTAGAATTCCTTTTGAGGAAATAATGTACAAGAGGCTCCGCCAACTAGACATGGAACATTTTCATGATGATGCATGCATCCTCCTTCGATTTGTCCGAATATTTTTGAAAGATAGCTAGAAAGGTGCTAGTATCTGAATTTCTTAAGGCTGAAGCAAGTATATTTGGTTCCAAGACCAAGAGTGAGATATATATGCACATGTTTCCTACTAGCTAGCATGTGCATGTCATGAGTAAAGAAGGATCTCACATATATGCATACATGCACAATGATCTTGCTCCATGGTAGTAGCTATCCTTTTTTTTTCTTTGTCATGGGTCATGCATGCATGGTTTTCGTTCGTCTTAGACCGACGTGATAATACTGAATTTCGGTGCTAAATTGCACATGCAATCCTGGAGGTTTGACTCTGGGGTAAGCAGGTGGCGCCAACAACCAACCAACCCAAAGCATGCATGCATGGGAATGATGACGGCCGTTAACACGCGGGAAAAGCAAAGCCCCTCCTAATTTCGTTACTTTGGAGCAATGCACTGCACGGGATCCATCTAAATTCCTTTCTGTCATTTCAAGATTCCACTACTACTACTACTTGTAATCATATACAAGTACTATGTATGATTAGTTTCTGTGTACGTGCATCACTGCCTATTTCAAGAAGCATAATGCTATTCAGCAAACGTCAGCTGGAAGAGCATGATAAAACATGCGTTTTTTTAAGGCAACTTATGTCATCGGGAATATGCCAATTCCTTGAAGTGAACACAACAACTTTTTGCAGTAATTCCTTTGTTTGCTAGAATTTGCCATGTGTGCATGAAGAAATTACCATAAAAAACGTCCGCATTAAGCCGGTCCTTCCAAGAAATGAAATGAAGTATATAGTAGTCTTCGTCAACTGGAATACGACACACTCCAATTGTACGACACCGCGTCAAACGCAGAATCGAGCATCGGCCATGCTATGCTGTGCACTAGGTCCCGGTGTAAAGGGCAATGCTATCATTGTGCCGAGGACTCGATCGACGCGCGCTAGTGAAATGAAAGCTACTCCCTTCGTTTCATATGGAACGAAGGGAGTATTACGCAATTGCAATATATAGTGCAAAAATTTGTTAAGTGCAACAACGCAAAAAAAAAACCGTATTAATGGACATGGAGAGGAAAATAATCTGCGTGCGTGCGTACGTACGTACCGAGCATGATGGGGGCGAGCTCGCCGTGGAAGTCGAAGGGGTAGGGGACGGGGTCGCGCGGGCGGACGATGAGCGCGCCGTAGACGGTGGCCCGGAGCCAGGAGCTGTGCGCGTGCCACCACAGCGTGCCCTCCTGCCCGGCCACCGTGAAGCGGTACGTGTAGCTGCCCCCCGGCCGGATCGGGCACTGCGTCACGAACTCCGGCCCGTCCGACCACCCCGTCCGCATCTGCCTCACGCCGTGCCTGCACACCACGCCATTGCCTCCATTAGCATGCAATATCATGCATGCTTTTTCATATAGCATATGATGAGACGTACGTACCAGTGGATGGTGACGTTGTAGGTGGCGTTGTTGACGACGGTGACGACGAGGGAGTCGCCCTCGTTCACCTCCACCGCCGGCCCCGGGAACTGCCCGTTCGCCGTCACGATGCTCCGCATGTTGCACAGCCTCGTCACCGCCGCCTCCTGGATCTGCATACACACACATATGCACCAACACCACCCATCAGAACTCAGAGCCGCCAGACATTAGTGAATCTGCATCAACAAGGGAAGAGATCGACTGCGCGCGCATTACTCACCACGAACTCGTGGCGCTGCTCCTTGGCGATCGCAGGCCGGGAGCAGCAGAGAAGAAGAGCGGCAGCAAGGCCAAGGAGCGACAGGGAGCAGACTGAGCTCGACATCCTGACCAAACACTGCTCTGCTCCCTCCTGCTGACCAGCACTTGATTTGTGTGCAATGCAATTCATGCAAGGGACCAGCTCCCCTTATATAGGGGCACTGGCAGGCAGGCAGGCAGTCCACTTGTTTCTCTGGTTGGAATTGGAAAGCAAACAACCGGTTGATCCAAATGACTGCGTTGATTCTGAGGAGTAAATTTTTTTGTTTGCCAACTTTTCTTTTGGCTTACCTACCGATCAATGTGGTGGAATGTTAAGTCGGCGCGGTTAGCTTTAGTAAGCCTGTGATGATGCTTCCATCACAAGTTAAGCCTTTCCCAGAGGATGATGAGACCTACTCAACTCCATCATAAGACCTACCCTTCCGAGATCAGCTAGCGATGAGTGCCATATTGACTGTGATAACGATCTCTGCTTTGCTAAGTAGTAGTAGGATTAAACAAAGGCGGTTGTGAGCTAGAGGTTGCTTTCATCTGCATTATTAATCAGTCTCAAATTGTGCCGAGCTTCCTTCCAATTATGCTGATTCCCAGTGGAGCCACCAGTCCCACACTCCCACTCCCACATAGTACGTCGCGACTAATCAACGATTAAAAGGATCCTTAGCTTTCGTTTCATGTTGTTTACAGCCAATGTCAGGCTTGATTCAGAAATCTGTTCCAGCAAGAAACCTTTCCGAATCCAAGGCCCCTCATGACAACAAAGGGTTGTCTGTTCTACACCTTTACTTTTTCCCTTCTTTTTGACTATTTAATATGAATCTTTCTCTTTGCATCCATGCTTTTCTAGCATAACTAGCTAACTAACTAACTAACTTACTAGTTAACCGTGGGTGTTTACTGCTAGGTTAATTGGTCTTTTGTTTGGTAGGAGTTGTTCGGTTTGTGCCTGCAAATTTTTGGATACTGCAAATTCGTTACTTGACCATTGCCATTTGTGAGGCGAAATGTACTAGTACATCTAGATGGTCTTCCTCTGTTGCTTGTACTACTTAGCAAAGAACATAGTAGATGTGATGCACATCAGAAAATAGTAAGTAGTGACAAAGGGCATCGATGGGTTCTAAACGCTCCGCGTCGTGAACTGTGGATTCGGCTCGATGAATTATACTTAAATATTATTACTTATCAGTAAAGTAATTCTGACTGGGTAACTAAATCATCTATGTTTCAGAATGTTGAAGAATCGCAAAAGGTTGCCCCCTTCAGCAAACAAATTCCTGGCACATCAAATGATTCACTTCCAAAGAGCTGCGATTGGCTGGCATGTGCCAACCACCACAAATGCAAGTGAAAATACTGTTCATAGCTTCAGTAGGAAAGGAAAACACCCAACCCCCTTTTGCTTCAGCTGGTTTCTTGCAATTCAAGGCAATTTAAAGTCAAAATGTCAAGAAAAGCATCAATCTTGACATGGAAGGAACATGCTATTTCCATTAAAAAGTGATTTTCTTGGTGGAAAAGATCCACAAATATTCTAGTGTGATGCTTAGGTGTAGCATGATGATAATTTGGAGGCATTTAACAACTCCCTGGCACCCCACTTCTTGTCCTTTGAACTGAAAGGATGTTTCACATGTTGGTGCATGTATTGTATGCCCCAGAATCATTTTCTTCAACTTCTACCTGCTAGCAAATCTATATCGTAACTGAGTGTACCGTAATCATCGGGCATGTTTTGTATCCTGAACAATCGACAAAGTTGTGAGGTTCAACATGTGTGGAAGATCTTGGGCGAGCAACATTGAGTGAGGTGGTGTAAATGATTGATTTAATTGGTGTGGTGGTGAGCTCAAATAGCTGAATGCAAATTATGATGCAGTAGTGTTGGGAACCAGCAAGCAGATGGTGACCACATGGCAAACATCAGTCATCCAGTGATTTTAGATTTTAAACACTAGAGCCACTGATCAATGACCAAACTAAAAGGCAGCTTAAATTTCTTGATTGAAATAATCGAAGCAATGGCGCCATCAAGTTTAACAGATTGTCATATTTGTTGCAGAGCTTGATACAATGATCACTGCTTTTGTGATGGACCAAACTTAAATGATCCACCAAACTTGCCTGGGAGTGCTAGAATTGGTTCAGGGAGTTGCATATGGCTGTCAGTACCATCATGCCTTTAAGTAAGCTAGACCACACGGCATCATTTGAAGATAGTGCTTTACTGGAGCTTTGTTGCTAAAACCTCAACATCAATGAGGTAGGAAGCATTTGCGTTGACTCATTGCAGCGGTCCACACAATTAACCATTTGCAACTAAGTACATTGCGGTTTATTAGCGAACAAAATCTTGTTGATGAGTAGTGCACAGTTGATGAGGATACAGTGTGGAGGAACGTCGTACCCATCCTGGGCGACGGCTACGTGTTAATATAGGCCAGGGCGCAACTCCTGGCATAGCGTACAATGATGTTCAGATTACATTGTGACTTGGAGAGAAAGAGATAAAGAGATAAGAGGAGATTACAACCATATGATAACTAACTAGAGATCCTAGTCTATCTTGGCTTGGACTCCTCCACCGATGCAACCTGAACATGGGTAACGGTGCGGTGCAACATGTGTCGTTCAACACCCTCCCTTAATCACAACCTTGTTAAGTTGAGATTACGCTTGAATTCTTCAAAGTTTCTTGTGGAAGGCTTTGGTGAATCCATCTGCAACCTGATCTCGAGAATGTACAAAACGAATGTCCAATTGCTTATTGGCAACTCGTTCTCTAACAAAATGAAAATCAATTTCAATATGTTTAGTCCTTGCATGAAAAACGGGATTAGCAGATAGATAAGTAGCACCAAGATTGTCACACCACAAGCATGGGGCTTGAGTGTTTCTCACACCAAGCTCTCTCAACATGGACTGAACCCAAATGATCTCAACTGTGGCATTGGCTAGGGCCTTGTACTCAGCTTCTGTGCTTGATCGTGACACGGTAGCTTGTTTCTTTGCACACCATGATATTAAGTTGGGACCAAAGAACACTGCAAACCCACCAGTGGAGCGTCTGTCATCTACACATCCTGCCCAGTCAGAGTCAGAGAAAGCACTGACCAGTGTGGATGAGGACTTGGTAAAAGTAAGACCAAGGTTCATGGTATTTTTCACATATCTCACAATACGTTTAGCAGCAGTCCAATGATTTTTAGTAGGTGCATGAAGAAACTGACAGACTTTGTTCACAGCAAAGGAAATATCAGGTCGTGTCAAGGTCAGGTACTGAAGTGCTCCTACCAAGCTTCTGTACCTGGTGCTATCATCAGGACTCAAAAGTTCTCCTTCTGCAAGTGACAATTTTTCTGTGCTAGATAACGGAGTTGGTGAAGGTTTGCAACCTTGCAACCCAACTCTTCTCACCAGGTCAGAAGCATACTTTTCTTGAGAGAGATGGAGGCTATCACCTTGTTTCTTTACCTCAATCCCTAGGAAGAAATGCAAGTCTCCCAAGTCCTTGAGAGCAAATTCAGCACTCAAATCCTTCAGCAGCCCGAATATTGCTTCATCAGATGAACTTGTGACTATAATATCATCAACATATATGAGAACAAATATGGATGTTTTCATTTTATTGTAAATGAACAGAGACGTGTCAGACTTAGAAGGAATAAAACCAAGAGCTTGTAATTTCTGACTGAGTCTAGAGTACCAGCCCTGGGAGCTTGCTTCAGTCCATATAGAGCTTTATCAAGTTTGCAAACATGAAACGATTTGTTTTTGTTCTCAAACCCAGGAGGTTGTTTCATATATACTTCCTCTTCCAGAACGCCATGGAGAAACACATTCTGCACATCTAGCTGTCGAAGGCTCCATCCCCTGGAAACAGCAATAGAGAGCACAAGACGAATAGTTGCAGCTTTGACAACAGGACTAAAAGTGTCCTCATAGTCAATACCATATCGTTGTTTAAAGCCTTTTGCAACGAGTCTGGCTTTGTAGCGATCTATGGTTCCATCAGATTTCCGTTTAACTCTGAAAACCCACTTATAATCAATCAAATTTTTACCTTGCCTTGGAGGAACCAGATGCCATGTGTGATTTTTCAGAAGAGCCAGGTGTTCTTCTTCCATGGCCTTCTTCCACTTTGTATCATTGAGTGCCTCACCAACAGAGCGTGGTTCATCTGTAGAGCAGGCAAGACCAAACTTTGTTATTTGCTTGTAATTAACTGGTTTAGTTACCCCTTTTTGGAGACGTGTGCGTGAAGCAACAGGAGGCGCAACATATATATCCGGCGCAGTAGATCCCCCGATGGCGCCCCCTGCCCCGGCCACCTCGTCATCACGCAGGGCAGACGGATCGTCTGCGGCATCGGGAGCGGGAGGTGGTACGGGCGAAATGGTTCGTGGCGCAGAAGATCCACGGTGGAGCAGCACGTCCGGCTCAGGCCCATCATGCAGCAATGATGAGGCGGGCCCGGCCAAATCCGCGTCGGATCGCGCGTCTGGGGCCGCATCAGGAGACCGGCCCGAATCAACGTCGGGGGCCGCGTCTGGCGCCAGGTGACGAGGCTGTGCGCCAATCGACTGGCGGCGCTCGTAGTGAAGGGGCCCAGCGGGGGCCCAGCAACTCTCGGTGCGCCGCGCGGGGGCGTCCGAGTGGTGTGGGCCGGAGGGAGCCCCTGAGCCAGTGGCGAGGCGCGACGTGGCAGGCGCGGAGGCGGGGCTGCGTCGCTCGCCAGACGAGGCGGGATCCCGCGCCCTGTCAGTCTGGGACGGCCCAGATTCCGAGGGCGATCCGCTGCCAGCCTGCAGGGGAATCAATCCCGAGGAGGATCTGCTCCCCAAACCTGGACACATAAAATGTGGCATGTTGGGAGCGTTTTCTTCATTGTTTTTGTCGATTTCTGCACCATTTTCTTCAGAGTTTGCATCATCTGCATCATCACAAAACTCATGGAAGTGGTTATGAGCATTAGTCAACATTGAGTCGCTGCAATTATTTTCCCCTTGGGTGATGCCGATGAGACTAGAAGGCAAGAGAAGAATTTCTTTGCGAAGTAGGGCTCCGGCATTGGGGTGTAGGTCGGAAAAAGGGAACTTTGTCTCGTCAAAGACAACGTCCCGAGAG